TTAATCAAAATGCTGGTTCATGCCCCTATAGTCTTTTTCTTTTCTTTCCGTGCAGTATGTTTTTTGATAAGGAACCTTTATCCTTCATTTTCTTATGTTTTCTCCTCCTGTTCTTGAGTACCTAAATACTGGAGTGATGCAAAATGACGATTTGCTAGGTAATGGTTTTTAAGACTAACTTCATATTTATTCTGCTATTGGAAAGGTTAGATGACAAATCCAGAATTACATACTCTGACTTCCACTTTATTGTGTGTGTGTGTGGAGAGAGGGGGGGGGGGGGGGGGGTGTTTAACAGATCCTTGGTGCTCACTTCTTGGCAAATTAAGCATTACACGACATATTCCTTTTTCTACTTTTATCTTGTCTACTTGTAATGCTGCTTCAAATAACTTGATATATTAATCTTCAACGTGATAAGTATACTGTGATCGTGAGCCTTGTTCATGATTTCTTTTAACGAGGCTAACTAGCCGATTAGCATTTTGGTTATTGAACATTTTGGTGACCACTCTCTGAATTTTGAAACGCAAAATCGTGTTGGTAGAGAAGGAATCGATATAGACGTGAATACTCTCTCAGTATAACTTTCTTTCTTAATAAGGTAGTTCTGTAGTAGGAAGAAAACTGGACTTGCTCTTGTACCACCTTGCATATTGGAGTATTGGATACTTCCACAAAGGTGGATTGTCATCTTCAGAGATCAGCTTGCTTCTTCTGAGCTGCAACACTTGGCCAACCATGTTAAATGAGTGTGTCTAAGTTTGCTATACGCTCAAACTCGATAAATAATTTTCTGACCAGTTAGGCTTAGTTGGTTGTTTCAGAAATCACTTCTCCAGTTTGACATTATTATATTAGGTACAGTTTAGCTCATTCACTCCTACCATAAATGTAGCTTTGCTACGACCTCTATAGATGCTTGCTGTATAACTTCAGATGTTCTCTTGAGCTTGATTATACATCTCCAGAATCTCAGGTTCTAGTCGCAGATACTTGCAAAATATAATTTCTTAAGGTTCTAGCTTAACATTCACATCTTTAAGTAGTGGCGTAACCTAGATGGTATCTGGAAGCTTTGCTTTTAGAACGCTAACTATGATACATAAGTTGAATTGTCTCCCTGATGTCTCATTCAACATAATTGGAGGCAATAATTCCGTATTCATGGTAGAGAAAGGGCAGCCCTGTGCACTAAACTCCCGCTATACGCGGGGTCTGGGGAAGGGCCCGGACCACATGGGTCTATTGTACGTAGCCTTACCCTGCATTCCTGCAAGAGGCTGTTTCCACGGCTCGAACCCGTGACCTCCTGGTCACATGGCAACAACTTTACCAGTTACGCCAAGGCTCCCCTTCAAATTCAAATCTTTAGCTTAAGATTATGGTAACTTCAGCTTCAAAATGTCATTTCAACAACTTTAAAGTGTGGTTTGTCAAGTTTAGGATGTCACCAAGCATGACAATGTCTGGTCCTTTTATGTATTTAGCAGGTTAGTGTTTGTAACTTTATATGCCCGTACGAAATAGGTTTGACTTTAATTTGAAACTTTGAAGTTGGCTTCATCCTGAAAATAAAAAGAACGTTGGAAGTCGAGTTTGGGATCTTATGCATCATTATTGCACCTTTTCATTGAAAACTTTTTCTGAATATAATGTAATAAATTCTTTAACCCTTTTGGAAGTAGAGCTTTATAGAAGAAGCTATTCACATTGTACCTTGCATCATAAACCATATTGATTGAATAGAGTCTTAATCCTCTGACACAAGATCCTCGATACTGTTAGTCAATATGTGTGCAGAGCCAGCTATGTGATCTCTTGACCAACTTGCTATGTCGCTCGTCCCTTTGAAGGGGATGGTCCCACTCCGAGCTCCAAAGATGTATTCATTTTAGGGGAAAACCCCCCACCCTGAGTGGGAGAAGGTTGGGACGGGGTTTGTCCCAATTTGTTTCTGTTTTCTTCTCCTTCCAAATCCCACATTCTTTAACTCATTCCACAATTGACGGCTTGCAACAAGTATCTTATTCTGCTGCTTTTAACAAATTTGCAGGTGGCCGAAAGAGCACATTTCTTGTGGAACAACGATAACGTTCTTAACCTTGTGATGCATAACAGGCAAGTGATCATGCCAATTATTGTCTCAGCTTTAGAACGGAACAGCCAAAACCACTGGAATAAAGCAGTTCTTAATCTGACTCAAAATGTGAGGAAAGTCTTCTCCGAGATGGATGAAGAACTTGTACTCGACTGCCAAGGCAAGCTCGAAGAAGAAAATTCAAAGTCAAATATTGCAGCCGAGAGACGAAGGTTGACATGGGAGCGCCTAGAAATTGCTGCTAATTATCAACCTGTTACCGTGCCTTCTAATATTTCAGGCCTGGTAAAACCCGCCACGTGTCTTGTTTCGTGCTAATATGATAATTGATTCATATCAGAAGTATCTTTAGCTCATTCACGTGGTATATTTCGCGACCAAAAAAAAAACATGCATGCTGTTTAGTGTATGGATTTGTCTTGAATATGAATGTATATAGATTCAGATTTCACTAATTTCTAAAGCTGTGGTAAGTGATTACTACCATGGCTTATTCTTTTGGTTTTTAAAGAAGATAAGTCATTTGGTTGCACTCACTTACATCACAGTTTCTTTTTTCTTTTTTTTTTTGAATCGCGTCGATATACTATTCGACATCAGCACTTAACTATATTAGTATGCTCTTCTTCTCAAGAATATGAAGAGATTAATTTTTCAGTATCCAAAGAATGGTTTTAGCTGTTTGGTTTTGCAGGTTAGCAAGTATTACCAAGTCAGATTGGATTTTAGCTTCTTTTGCATTTACCTTGTAATATAGATTTGGACATGGGAAGCGTTCCCTATCATGAATTTCTCCATTTAAGGCTGAAACTCGTGACTTCTAGTTAAGGGTGAATTATGAGGCAAAGTTGTTATATTCTTGTTATGCGATGAAATTAACTTAACTCACTCGTCGATTGTCATTGTGTTCCTATATATTGTCAAATGATCTTTTATTTTTAATAGACTTCGGATACAATCAATATACGTACCTAGGTATACCCTTCATCTACTTGTCTGAATAGAATAGAATGGATGGAGATTGAGACGTAGTTGATTGATATATCGATTGCGATAGCTATCTATTTGGAATTGCCTTGGGAGGGATAACATTTTTTGTACAATATAAAGAAAGTAACAAATATATTTGATCCGTTCCTCGTAAATTGACCTGGACACCACGATTATAAAGAAAAAAAGTCTTGGATTTGAGTAGTTCACGAGCCAGCTAGGGTCATAGTATGTTAGGATACATAGACAACTCATAAGTATGGACCACCATTTCCATTGTCTTTACTTCCTGCCTTCCATATTTAAGCTATCTAGTTGTTTTATGCACTTGCATAGTTGTCTTCCCATTACTAAATGGAAAAAAAAAGAAGACATAAAGTACACAATAAAGATTGTCGCTTAATTGATAATGAAGCTGGTGAAAATCATGAGAGGCAAATGTTTAAATTTTAGCAAAGACAAAAAATGCTTCGTGATTTTTTAGTGGTGTCCAGAGGTACCCGCAGAGGCAGATCCAGATTTACACTTAATTGTTCAACCTTTTAAAGTTCTTAGCACTAAACTAATTGTAAAGTGTAATTTTCAAATTATGGGTTCATAGTATAATATTTGTTAAAATCTTAATTATCGGTTTTGAGTTTTTTACAAGCTTGATCCTTTTTTAACTGTTATTTTTAAAAAAAAATAGCATCATTTATAGTTTATTTCATAAAGAGCATTTTTTTTTATTATTAGCATATTATAAAAATTAAGCTCAATATTTAATAAGTTAACTGACTCACTAAGCAGAGGAAGTACTTTTTTTTGTCCATCTCCATTCTCCCTTTCCAACATTCATCTTCTTCACTCCATTTTTGAAAATCTGATGCATATGTGAATGCTACCTAAATTCAAGATGTATTGATTTATACGTCTTTTATACTTTGTATATCAAGTATCACTTTAATTCAAAATATATTTTTATGCATATAATTTTTGTATATTTATTTGTGAAGTACCATCTTATTTTAAGATGTATTTTTAATGTATATTTCAAATATATTTTATATGTCAAGTGCCATTTTAATTCAGGATGTATTTTTTATGTATATTTTTTTTTGTATATTTATATGCCATCTTAATTAAATTTAAGATATATTTTTTATGTATATTTCACATATCTAAGTGTCATCTTAATTGAAGATGTATATTTTATATACATTTTGTATATATTAATATATATTGTTATCGAAGTAAGATCTTTATGTTAAGAAAGGAAGAAAGAAGGAAGAGAAAAACTTAAGAAAGATAATTAAAAGGAAAACGAATGGAACAAATTTAGAAAATATATTGGCTTCGGCAAAAAACAAAATTAAGAAGAAAAGCTAATAGATAAAGAGAGAAAAAAAGCATGATTTTTCTACAAAGAATTATTCACTTTCCATTCAAATTGCTTATGTTTAGGGATTAATAATTAATATTCCTATTTTAATAGAACTGTGTGCTACAAATATAATTTTTTTCCTGTCACAGCTATAATATTGGGTTTCATGCTAAGAATTTATTATATTTTTTTTAAACTATGACAGTTACGTAAAGTTTTCAATAGTTGTTTACACATAATATTTGTTGAAATTTTAGTAGCTTTTGACACACGAGTGTGTGTGTTCTATGTCGAAATACTAGGTTCAACTTAACCCATAGCTAATAAACTCCATCTACTTTTGGTTACTTTACACTTGTGCTCGTAGCAGGTAACAGATACCCGGTGGAACAGTCGAGGTGCCCGAACACCACCACAATAAAATAGGAAGTAGAAAAAAATATGAAGTATTAATTAGACAACTTACCATCTACTTTCTTTAGGCCCCTAGACCCTAGCTATAATTGTTCATTGATTATTCACCTCTAGTCCATTTATATTCTCATCAACTTCACATACTTTATCTTAGGCAATCTCCCATTTTCTTTTCACACAAAGAAAGCAATTTAGGGAAAAACACAGAAAGAAGAAGAAGAAAGAAAATGAATGCTCCTCCAAAATATCAAAATATGTCATACTATGAACATGTCCAAAGGCGCCATGAAGAAAAGGGATGCCTATATGCTTGGTTTGTATCACAAAATCTAATCTTTTTTTTTCTTTATTGACATTATTCTTTTAGTTTTACTTCTTTAGTAAAAAAAAATAGTAGAGGCGGAATCAGAATAAGTGTACATGTCTCAAGCTTTAATGCGTTCAATTTTTAAAGTTCATAGTATTAAACTCACTGTACATCTGAAATTATGGGTTCAAAATTTAATATATATTGAAAATTTAGTGATTTTTCACGTATATATTTATTTTCCGTGTCACTTCACATGTACTCAACACTTTGCCTATGTGCAAAAAGCATAGCCAAACTCAAACCGGATAAAGAAAAAAGGTTGCGGCAAGTATAAATATAGTGTAACTATGGTGAATTATTTGGAATATTGAATTTAACTCGAACTAATTTGGAATTAATTCATAGTTGAGTGATATATAAATATTCATGTTCTAATCTTTTATTTTATTTTTTTGAATTTAAAAATCTTAAAATTGCAGTATGTTCACGCTATGTTGCTGCTTCTGCTGCTACGAAACTTGCGAGTGCTGCTTAAGTTCTGTCTGCTGTTGCTGCCCTTGAAGCAAACAATTATCAGTAATGCAATGTATTTCTATGTTACGCTGACTCTCCAAAATGTTGCCGCATCCGTATTGGATTCTTCAACCGGCATGCACTTGACGACATTTTCGGAGAATCCAAGCAATATAGGTGTATTTTACAAGATTGTTATTAGTAGTTGATGTTTCAATAAAACGGGATGTTAGTATATTACATATCACTATTGTATCTACTATGTTTTATATCCTTGTAATTTAAATTATTATTAGTTAATGATAAAAGTTAAACCTCTATCATTACGTATCTAAGTTATATATACTGACAGAGCGACAATGTAAATATTTTTTATAATAGCAATGCAGTTTAATATATGCTCACTTCGCCGTCTCAAGCCAATATAAAGGAAGAGGATAGCGATAGGCTGACTGCCAACTAAATAATGTTGAAAGCGGTGTAGTTTAACTTGTTATCACAGGTTAGTTATATTATAATTAAGGATTGAGAAGAAGGTGGTTGGCTTGACGAAAAGGGTAATGATAGTGTAACCTAAATAAAGATTATCGAGAGAAAAGATTAACAGATTTGAGGTAAAGGATCATTCAAGAGTTTAATAGATAATCCATAAAATATACATATTCCAAGCAGTGGCGGAGCCAGAATTTTCATCAAGGGGTGTCAAAATAAAAATAATTAGATACATCGAAAAATCAAGGGGAGTCAATATAGCAATATAGTGTAATTTTCCGGCGAATGGGTATCGCCTGACACCCCTTGGTTCAATGTGGCTCCGCCACTGATTCCAAGCATAAAATGTGTATATATATTCTTGAACAGTATATCTTTGATAACACTTGAGAGTATTACAAACTAAAACATTAATTTTAGACATAGAAGTAAATCGTTGAAGTGACAGTCTTAAACACATAGTAACACACTTACAAGCCGAATTGTGACAAAAGCCGATATCACTTGCATAAAATCCTTCGGACGCCACTGATCTAGTCTCAGTATTTAGAAACACTATAATCTTATTATATGTATACATGTTAAAATTTTTCTTTTTTGCATATGTGGATAACTTCAGACGAAAGCAACAAGTTCAGTTGACCGCACAAAACCTGTCCGAGAACTGCCACTGACTTCATTTCTGGTCCATTTTAAGGATAAAATCGATCTTTTAAACCCTTAAAGATCTTTGCGTTAATTTCAGCTTGAGGAGGCAGAGGTCTTGGGTTTCTGAGACAATCAACAAATCTCCATAGGCAATTGCAAATAGGTCGACACCAAAAAAGGAGAATCCCTATTTGTCCAATCATTCCTCCTGTGAAAGCAACAATAGCTAGGGGCTCCATGCTCCTACAATACAATTTTCTTTCTTTTCCTCGATATAATAGATTAAATTACACTGATAAATAAAAAGATCTTATACCACCAATATATATATAACTTAAACACTTGAGAGTTTAGATTGAGAGAGCTTGTTTCAAGTTCAAAACAAACACAAAAAACTTCACTTTTATGGCATGAAAGGGAAGTTCTTTTTCACAGACATTAAATTTATGTTGGTTTTTATTATAATTACTGAATTAAACAAAACTTTATCTAGTAACGTTCTGCATTTATTTCATTGTTAACAGTAATTTACTCTTTGAAGAATAAACGGCTAGATGCGTGCCATAAAGTTTGTTATATAAGTGATTTATTTCATGCATATTAATTTAGACGCTTTTAACGTAGCCATGAAATTTGTATAAGATGATTTATTAAATACGTTAATTTAACTCTTATTTATGGTTTTCATTAATTGCAATTAATAAAGATGTTAAAAATGTGTTGCCTAGGCTCGTGCTATGGTATAGTGGTTTAGACTTTAAGGTGTCTTTTGGTTGGAAACAAGTTATCCCAGGATTAATTATCCCGGGATAAGTTATCCCACCTTCCCATAGGGATAAAAAAACACTACTATTCCGGGATTAGTTATATCACAATTTATCCCAATCAAACATGAGATAACCTCATCTCAAATTTAATCACGGGATTAATCATCCCTTATCCCTCGTACCAAACGAGCCCTAGATAACAGCTATGCAAATCACTATTTTGTCAATAAACTTCCTGCAATTTGTCCAGAAAGTAGTTTGATCAGAGTTTGTGATTATACCCACGAAAAAAAGTATTTTCTTTCGATAACAGACACCAAATAAATCATAGAGAACATTACCTCACAACCATCACTAGCGTAGAACTTACCCGCACCCTGTGTTTACACCAAACTTAGGTAATTTAACTTTTGCAGTTAAAAGTTACAGTGAGGTTTGGGCACAACAAGCAACACTATTTTACAGTATCTGAATAGCCTAGAATGCCTGAACATACAATAAAGCTGGTTGAGACCTCTTATCTTATACCTTTCTACAATATTTACTAATTCTACCTCAAAGAAAGGAAGGAACCAAAAATAAAATATTGAAAAACTTCGGGAAGGGGCAATACCTAAATGAAGAAGGATAGAGGGGCCGATCCATTATCCATCAAGTTTTAAACTGTACGCCAAACTGGTCCTCCAGGGGGGGTTACACATCTAAAAATGTTGTGTACTCTAAACAGCCTCCGCTTTGCAGGTTGTCTTGTAATGTCCAGTTTGATTGCACTTACCACAACGGACAGTATGCTTTTCACGGTTATGATCTTCCACACATAACCGCTTCTTTTCAGGTCGTCCAGGTGGTCGACGACACTTGGGTGGCCGCACTAGTCGGGCTCTCGACCATTCAAGTTTATCAGAGATGGGGTGTACCTCTTTACTATAACTCTCGCGGTAGCTAGCTGCAGTGAAATATTTCTCTGTGAAGTCATACACATCCTTTTTACATGATAAGAGAGCAGCAACAGCATGAGAACATGGCATCCCATAAAACTGCCAATCACGGCAAGAACAAGATCGGGTCCCTATATTCACAATGTCTGACCGCTCTGCTGAGAGAACTTCAAATTCAACTTCATCTGACCTTAACACTTTATATTTGACAGCAAGAGTTCTTGCTTCCATAATGCGCTTCTCAGCAGATGGAGCAAGAATTGAACTCCATGTACTACTCCTTGACCGCCGCTGCTCGAACTCCTCCATTAACTTACTGTGAATCAGTTTAATCACCTGAATAATAGGAAGCTCCCGCGCTTCAAGAATCCATTTATTGAACTCATTAATGTTCGAAGAGAAATGACCATATCTTGTTCCGTCTAAATGTATTAAAGCCCAGCACGAAGGAGGATACTGTTGAAGCCACGTCGCTGCATCTGAAGAAACCTCCTCAATTTCAGCCATTTTCTCTTTAAACCCCGTGGTGGACGTAGAATATGCGGCTTTCCAGAGGAGTTGAACAAGCTTTGAATTCTTGAACTCTTTACTGATGCTTTCACTCAGATACTGCACACAAATTGCATGACAAGAAGAGGAAAATGTCCTCTTCACAGCATCTGCAATACTCTTTTGTCCATCAGACAGAAATGTAAGAGGTGATATCTTCTCAGTGCTCATCTCCAATGCCTTGCGCAACTCTAACAAGTACCACATCCAGCTATCATCATTTTCTTCATCGACAACACCAAAGGCAAGCGGAAATACTCCACCATCAGCATCAAAAGAAGTGGCGGATAATAAAGTACCTAAGTATTTGCTCTTAAGCTGGACACCACCAAGACAAATAACAGGCAAGCAACCCTTCACGAACCCATGAAGAGAAGCATGAAAGGAAATGAAGAACCTCTGAAACCGACTCTCTGAACCAGCTGTAAAAACCTCAGCATAACTTCCAGGATTTGTCTTCTTGATTTGTTCACAATATGTAGGTAATAGACAGTATCCTTCTTCAGAAGAGCCATATATAGCTTGCAGCCCTCGTTCCTTTGCCCTCCATGCTTGTTTGTATGGTATAGTTATCCCATACTGCTTATAAATATCATGCAAAATGTCTTTTGGCTTGTAATTTATGTTGTCACGCAAGCGCTCCTCTATGAAGTTCACTATCCAATCAACAGAAGCCTGACGTCCATTTTGTGCATTCTTTCCGCAGGTATGTGTTCCCTCAAGGCTTCTTATAGTAAAGGTAGGGGCATTGGGAAGCTTAACTGCACGAATACGCCACGGACAACCATCTGAGGCACATTTTGCACAGTAGCGACTCAGGTCACTTTTTACTATGCGAAGCTCAAAATGTTGTGCAATAGCAGCATCTTTAATTGCACTGCGCAAGGCCTTGACGTCAGGAAACTCTTGGCCAACAAAAAAACTTTCATCCTCCATGAAATAGCAATTTATGGGATCTCCACTTTTAAACAGCTAAAGTCCCAACTTAGCTTATTGGGAGTTGGCATGTGAAGGAACTGAGGAAAGCAGCCAATGCATCCAAACCTGTATATTCAACACGCAATTTCATTAGCATGAGCCAGCAGTTTGAAAATGCACAAATCAAACTGCTGCACAAATCTTTCGTAAAACCTCTCAAGCCTTGATCAGCAAAGGCCAAAATGGTTAGATGCTTCATCAGCATAGGGTGAAAAAGGTCCTGATAGAAAATGTTTGCAAACATGCACGTTAAAAATATGACTTTTCTCGACCTAGTTACTAGGACAGGTTTATGTCATCAGACTCAACATATGTGCTAATAAAATGAAAGAATAATTTTTGATAAGAAAAATGAAAAGAGCAGTTCCTTGGACATAATGCAAAAATCCCATTCGAAAACATAATATCATGCCTATTCTTTTATGCATCAGTTGGCTATAAAAGAGATCACTACGAGACTATGGAACAGCTATTCACCTTTCTCGGTAGACTGGAATTTAAAATCAAACAAATGAAATTACTTCATATGTTCCATGAAAACGACACAAATAGAAACTAAATACATTTTAAGGCAAGCAATAACGTCGCAAAGCTGAACATAGAATAAATGCAACGGACTGTCAGGTAGAATTAGAGAAATGCTTGATCCACATTAAAGATAAAAACCAAAGATGTTTTGCTTTCTATATTTCCAATAATATGGGAATTGTAGTGATTGACTGATTGATATTTCCTACAATTAAAGAAAATAAATTAAACTACTAATCCTACTCACGCCGTAAATAGATGCCCCCTTGGTCCATTTCAAATTCAGCCAGAGGTCTTTGAGTACAAA